ATGTCCGGCACCTAGGGGGAATCGATCCTATGACGGGGATCCGCTATCGATTATGATCTTTATCCGGTCTGATTCAAATGACCTACCCGCTGGGAGAGCCCAGGCGGCCACGAACTATAGGAGTGATTATTTTGTGTTTCTGGGCGCATCAATCGCTATGACCACTCATTCCGTAATTTAGCGCATGTTTTATCACGCGAGGAGGCAATGTTCCTCCCTTGCTGGGTGGGGAGATCCGGGGTACACTTGGGCGTGCGGGATTGTGTGTGTGTCACTGTTGCCCAGTCAGGCGTTGAGCTTCGTGCAAGTTTTGTTCGTTCATATCTCATCAGGATATCTTGAAGACCCCCACATCCATAAATCAGAAACTTTTTGTCGCATACTCTCTAGATACCTGTATACTCAGCTTTTTCAATTGAATATTTAGTGTTTCTTGTAGCGTGAACTACTATGACCGTTAGTCCCATAAGTGTTGTGCGTGTTATATCGCAAGAGACGGCGATGTTCATCCCACTCTGGAACGTGAGATCTGGCGCCGACCTACACTTCAGCACGTGAGGGATTTCTTCTCCAGGTGCGCCCCGTCCCAGTCTGAACTAGCTCTAGACTTCTGTCTAGTTTCCCGTCATGAGTGATAGTTTAGCTCATGTAAGTGGAAGTGGAAGTGAAAGACTGCGCGTTGTCCACGGTCTTTTTGTTAGTATACTATTAAAGAAACCACGGATAATTTTCGATCAGAGGAACCGCTTGCTAAAATTCTCCTCCAGCGGCTGAAGTCGACCTAGCTATACACCTAGTGTCAAAAATCCGTCCCACAAGGACTGGAACCCTGTTACTTCCCGGTCACCAATGCTGCAGAGACAGCGGGGCATTTGGGAAGTTGCCTGTTTAGTTTTCCGGGCTGTGGCGATCAGTCGCGCGAGTGCAGAGGGGCTTACCTGCGCGGAAGAGCACGATGGCCTTGAGGCAGGCGAACTCCGCGGGGTCGACGGCGACGGCCTTGAAGCGCAGCAGGGTGTCGTTGAGGACGCGCACGTCGGCCGCCACCTGCCCGGCCTTGCCGTTGGGCGCGCCGGCCGCGTGCTCCGACACCGAGAAGAGCGGCGACGAGTCCAGCGGCATGCACCACTGCACGGCGTTCAGCAGGAACAGGTCGGCCCACGCCTCCTCCAGCAGGATCACCTGCGCACCGCGCCGCGTTACACTAACGCCCACCTAGGGCACGGCAAAACGACGTCCGCAAACGGAGTTCCCGTTTCCACTGCGTGGAGCGCTGGTGAGTAGAGTAGCCGATGGACAAGTTCTAACACGTTCAGATACATTTCAGCTGTTTGTGGTCTAAGTTACGCCTCACTGGTACTGACTGTATTCTTTCTGTGAGTGTTTATAATGTTCAAGAAAATAGAGAACGCCACCAGTTGTGAAATTATGTCTGTGATTAGATTTTACAACGTAAGAAATGTGAAACCTTGCGATATTCAACGTCAACTGAAAAGGAGAATGGAGACAATGTTATGGATAACTCATCTGTTCCGCGTTGGTGTCGTAAGTTCAGAAAATCTGCAGAACAATTTGGGCGACAATTCAAATGGGAAAGTTTCAACTATCCACCCTACAGCACAGACTTGGCACTTTCATATTTTCATCTATTTACAAAGCTCAAGGAATTTTTGGCAGGAAATAAATTTGAAAGTGATGAAGAACTGAAAGCAGCTGTGACTACATATCTCAATACCCTGGCGACAGAGGAGAACGAAGCTGGGATACAAAACCTCGTCAAACGTTATGACAAACGCTTAAATTTGCAAGGTAACTATGTGGAGAAGTAGTTTAAAGTAGTTTTTTTACAAATAAAGCATTAATATTTGTTAAATGTACTAGTATTTTTCTTATTCCAAAACGGGTACTACTTTCCGGATGCACCTTTAACCACTCCTCGCCAGAGTGCGTATTACTGATGTATTTCAGAAGTTAGTATTTCTAGTTTACACTCCTGCCCCTAGAGCGGAAGTAAGACTTGTCATTGTTTAAAAAGCTTCATTTCTATTGTGTATAAAAAATAAATCTATTTGCAACAGTCTAAAGTTTTCTTTAATATCCTGTGGAGACACTGAAGATCGAAACATGTCAAATGCTGTAATTGACTTGCTGTTAGTTAGTAAATTTGTTTGTGGAAGATCATATCTTTTTCCTCCCGTTGTATTACAATTATGGAGTTCCACAAAATGTCTGCGGAAACCACCGAGTTTATTAAAATTAAGAATTTTTGCCGCATTATTTTTCATCATAAATTATATTTATTCTATTTCATACTGAAAACTACCAACATGTAAGACAGAGGTTATAGATGAAATATGCAATTTACTATTTGCAAATAGATTAACCTCAAATTCAACAAGCTTGATTTTGTGAAAAGTGAGCATATGTTGTTCCTTTGACCAGCATGTGCTCTTCTAGTTTTGACCAGTCAAAGGTACAACAGACCCTACGGTTACTACATTTCAGGTTATTTATTTAGTATTTTCTTATTATTTTAGAAAGTTGGAGATGTATAGAAGCAAAGATGGTATTATAAGAAAAAATATCTATGAGGATGATCTAGGGCGCATTCTTAGTTAAGAAATGTCAATAGGGTCAAACAACTAAGCTTTTTGATTTGAAGAAGCCAACACTTATTTTTCATTTGAAGGAAATGAAGGAACGAAGTTAACCGATTATTATAATTTTTGTGGTCAAAAGTACAACTACCCTGATCAACATAGTGTTGTACCTTTGACAATTTCTTTTGAAACATTAATCCCAATCAATTTAAATTAATTTCAAAGAAAATAATAATTAATCATAAGAAAATAATATCTTATGGACAACATTTAGGTGCTTATTTAAAAACCTTAAACAAGTTAATAAATCTAAAACTGAAGGACAGAAAAAAAATTATGAAAAGCGGTCAAATATACAATACCTTCTCCTACTTGTTGGGATAATTTAACTCGGAGGAGATATTATGCTCATTGGGATAATTATGCTCGTTTACGCTCTGAACCTCATTGTTCACTGGCTAGCTCAACAAAATAAACAAAAATTAAATTAAAAGAAAAGAGAGTTTTTGAAGATTTCGGTGGTGGTTGAAATGCAGATTTCACTCGTTGAATAATTGATGGATTATGAGGTAAGCATTATTTCATAATGTCTCAACAAGTTGAAGCCTTACAGATTTTTAATTACCGCTATTTTTTACTGATCGTCAAGTATTTTAATGGTGAGGTACTAAAAAGCATCTTCTTCAATCATTTTTATTTATGTAAGTCAGCAAATTTACCTGCTTTTCACATATATGAGTAGACTTATTTTGTTTCAATCTCAAAATTCGTATATTCCGAATTGTACCAGGGCTGCAGACGATAAACGACATGAGGGCTCTTTACTTTCTCCTTATTCTCTGGCAAGAGTACGCGTCTCATATATTCTTTCTAAATAATAATAGGTTTCTATCTATTACGACTGGATCCATAACGTTTTCGAATTTCAGAACCCAACTCCAAATATTAAAAAAAAATTAAAATAGTAGTATATTTATATTGGGTAATATATAATATATTTATATTCTTACTTATTTCAATCAGAACGTGATACAATTTTTGAATAAACTGAGTATAGGTATATAAATTTATTCTTTGGAGAGACTTTGGCGCCCTCCCCCCCCCGCCCTGGATCGACCATTGCTCTCTGTATCATATTCTGTATAAGACCCCTTCTGAATTCCATCTTCTAAAACAGATGTTTTAGAACCAATATAAAAAAATCTAATACCTGGTTAGACTGTTTTCACGTTTGAAAGATAAAGTGTTTTGAATAATCGAGTGTTGCGTTAAAAATTAATTTATTTCATCTTATAAAATAGTTTGATGTCATTGCAAGTACGTATTTAACTTCTTTCAAAATAACAGCTAATGATGCACTAGGTAAAAGTGGTGTCGGGAACGTCCCATTTTTAAAAGTGGTCGCCCTGGGTGTCACTGCTGCGGTACAATTTCGAATAGCTCGTCCGGAAGTATACGAGAATAATGGTGGCGCCGAGGGGATAATATAATTTTTTCCAGTGGTCCAATTTATATAAATGCTGGACGGGGCAGGCAGATAAGTAGCGAAAACTCAGGATGAATGCCAAGTCTTACGAAATAATGATCATACATGTGGAATGTTCGAACATTATTATGACGATGGATGTTCATTAAAATAAAGTTTTTTTCTGTTTTAATGATTGATTATTACGTTCTGGTATTCATCAGTATTGAAGCTTCTAAAGTCATATTTTTATAATCAGTGATGTAGCTATAACTATATTTGTTATACGTTTTGAAAATAAATATAGAATCTCAGGAAATTGAATAAGTTAAAAATTAGTTTGGTCTGAATGGTAAAGATACCACTACATTTTATTGTTCTAATAAAAGAGAAATTAAATAGGTTTGTACGGTGCAGTATTTTGAGGACCTAGGATCACAAACTGATGCTTTCGATTGTGAGTTATTTGTTTTACATGAAAGCTTCGACAGTGTACTTAATTCATTTTAAACGCCAGGTGCTGTGCCTACGAGAGTATCAGTGTAAGGGTTCTGAAAGTGAAACATTCAAAATGCGAATAAAAGTGTAAACTGGTTTTGATGCAAAGTAACTCTTGTTATTATTTGTAACATTATATATGTATGATTAATTTTTCTACATATCTACGAATGTTCCGTATTTTCAAACAATTTATGAAGATCATAGTCAGTAGATGATTTCATGTCTGATAAATCGACAATATTACTAAGTATTTATTACTTCCACACCAATTGTATTTGAGTAACTTTTTCCTTGCATAAGGATCAGAGACCTGATGAGGCAGTTAAGTTGGCATCCCTTCGCACGTCGAATGAGTAGGGATGCAGCGCTATCTAGCCCCTCCTGCGCGTGCCTATTTTGCACGCATGACGAATGCCGACAGCTGGGCTGCGCACGCTGTGCATCAGACTCCTCGTCACCATACTTCATGCCACCGCTTTTATGAAACCTGACAGTTTGCTGAAGAATGGAGAGGGCCACCGCTGTCACCGTGGCATCATTGTTTTCATAGGCTGAGTTAACAGCTGACAGCCTGCAAATACGTAGGGCAGAGGTGCACATGCAAAATGGATCTCAAACCACGCACTTCACACGCGGTTACTTATTCATTTTTCTTTTTTAATTCCTTTGGCGGAGTATTATTCAGACTTCCCGAACCTTTTTTTCAGTCTAAAAGTGTGAACGTCGAAGACATAAATACTTGGGTATATATCAATTTCTTCCTATATGTTTTATATTTTGTAATGAATCCATGTACATTTATTTCTAGATGTAGACTATTTATGCCATTTTATAGCTACGAATCTATTTTAGTACAGAGTACTTTAAAAGGCAGATAAAAAATTACTTTGTAAGTGAAAGCATAACATGTGTCGTTCGTTTTATGCACATACTTATTAAAAATTTTCATTTAAAACAATAATAGTAATTAAGAGCATTAAACTTTGAGTTTTATTCCTTAGATCGAAGCAGTTACCCTCTACGCCTCAGCGGGTGGCAACCTGAACCCAAACACACTTGTAGGTTCCTTGGCGGAGCGCTCTCTTGTTGAGCAGTCTGGTTGAGGCCTCGCACCCTCTTATATCTAGGTCCACTTTAATTCTACATAACGTTAAAAAAGATAGTAAGCGTCGACGAGGCCTTTTAAGAATGGGAGATAACAATAAAGGCCGTTCTTAAATTGTTGAGGTTCTGCATTCTGGTACACGAAAAGTAAATTTATTATTTAAAATGTTTTTCAGCGTTGCCTCAAATCGCATTCATGGTTGACAACGTAGGTTTCCGCGACCGGAGTCAGTACCTACTTGGATGTCCGGAAGACGCCGTGACTTAGGCGCATGTGCCAATGATTCAGGTGCCATTCTGCGACTATCCTCATTCTGCGGCATTTATCCCTGAAGTAGGCCGCAAAGTCGCCCCCAAAATGTTGGAACCTTTGCTTAGGACGCTGAGTCTTCCGATCAGCCAAGTAGTTAGGTCTGGTGATCATCTTTCTTGTAGGAAAATATTAAAATTTAAGGTATCTGCAGTGTAATTCTGCAACCTAACGTTCAATGCAAAATCATCGGTAGTTTTGAATAACTGATCGAATCGCCTCAGTGAGTAAATCTGTAATCTCTCAGAAGGGCTCAGGGCAGAAAAGTATAGCAACGTAGGCGGACTGTAGTATCATCTATTTTCTTGAATGTCAGTCATTGAACTGGAACGTATCCTCATCAAATGAGAATTGGGGATTACAAAAGACCTATTAAGTAGTTACAGAATACAAATCTCGGGGTCTGATTTTCATTTCTTTGAAGCAATTCTGTCTTAGAGTATTTGCTGGTAGCATCTTTAACCAAAAATACTTCGTCCGCAAATTATTCATACGATTCTGACACTGGAAACTAGTGAGGATTTTCACTGTTTAAGAACTCACTCTTCTGCTCAACTACTATTGCAAATCTATATTGTTTGCACATTCGAAACTGAAATACTACCTCTGTAGATTAAATTAGAGGCGCAGCTAGGATGTCCAACCCAAATGGTGTTTTCTTATGATTTTTTACATGTTTAATATAAAATGTATTTTAATTTATTGACTCTTAGATAATATTTATAACATTTCATTGAAGCAATGTCTTAAGTTCGTGCAGGAAATACGAAAAATCTATAGTTTCACTTCGTATAATGTCTTTTTTTGGGGGGGGGCTGAAGCGTCGTGCGCCGCCCCTCCCTCCGGTTTAGTGCGCCCTTGCACGTGGGCGTGGGCGTAGGGGGTGGATCTGCGCTCGTAGTAAACGAACAAACGAGCGCTGCCGCTATCGCGCTCTGCTTACTTTCCAGTGGAGCAGTTACGCACTCATTTGCTCACAAGATGTGTCAATAACTAAAACGCGTCTTACGTAAAAGGGTTTCCTAGGAAATACTGAACCATTTTATATCGTCTTTATATTTTTAGTTTTTGATTATTTTTTTGATGTTATGAGATAAACGAAACATTATGCATTAATAATTAATGATTTTCTTATTTCAAATGTTGAATTCCATTTAACAAGAAAATATTCATTAAGAAAATAGTTTATTTTTGATTTCATTTAAGAATAATATTTTTGGTGTTGATGCTTTTTTTTCAAAATTATAAATTGTCGGAAAATATCTTTTTCTCTTTTTCAGGAAATTGTATATTGGAGTTCAATGCTTTTTGTGTATTCCAAGATGTAGGTATTTCATACGTGTTGGGACAGTACAACAATTTTTAGAATTTGAGAAATAATTGTTTTGAGTTCTCCAATACCTTGCATATCCATAAGTATCCAGGATGTTTTCTTCACAAAAAAATGCTGTATATTATCTTTCATTCTGAACTTGGTGTATTAAGTTAGAGTCAACTTATTAAGTTAGAATTCAGTCAAGAATTGCATTATATTAGAGAGGAACCATGCTTGTTTCTTAACATAAAATGTTAATGTTTATGCAAATAATGGAAAGCTGCATATAAAACTAAAAGTGATTAGAATTTACGTTTAAAAAAGGTAACCAACAGAGAGTGATATTTGGGCGAGTATCAATTCCTTACATCACAATGTGTCACAATGTCAGTCGCATTTTGAGGAGGTGTGTCCGAATTTCAGATAGGATATATCAACTCGTATATATTTTCACATATTTGTGCTGTGAATATGTTGTAAGTTGTGCATTTCAACCACTGGAGACACTTCTAACAAATGGAGCCCTTTGGCATGCAAAATGTATGGATAGCTAGTTATGTTATACAAAATGTAAGGCTAATAACGGAATAATTGGTTTCAACAAAATTAACATTTAGAAGATATTCATCAATATCCCGTAAAATTCAATAAGCAACACTGTGTTTCAAAACAGTCTTTTGATGAATGAAAAAGTGGTGTTCAATATTCCAGTGAGAGTTTTAAATTCTAAAAAGAATCGAAAATTGATAAGCAAGGTAAGAAAAATAAGAATGAGGAGGCGAAAGGAACGACGAAGAAATGTGAGGATGTGGTAGTGATGGTGATGACCTGATTGAGAAATGTCAGAAATGTCATTTTGGGAAGACAAATGGTCGTGTAAACAGTGTGAGAAGGAGATGATGAAAGGGCGCGCGCGAGGTGCCTTACCTGGTCGCGGAAGGGCAGGCTGGCGAAGGAGGGCAGGTTCTTGGCCCACTTGACGGCCATGAAGAGCAGGCGCGCCGCCGTCTCGTACACCGTCTCGTGCACGGGCGGGTAGAGGGCGGTGGGCTCGGCGAGGCGGGGCGCGGCGGCGGCGGCGGTGGCGGCGGCGGCGGCGGCGGCGGCCGACATGGAGGCGGCGGAGGGCGCCGCGGCGGCGGCGCGGCGGCAGGCCAGCAGCGCTGGGGGCCCCAGCGCGGCGGCGCAGCGACTCTTCGTTCTCACGTCGGATGCTGTCCTCTGCGCGCCGGGAAGCAAGCAAGGCGGCGGTGCAATGGCGGGGCGGGCGCGGGCGCGAGCGCGCGCCCGCAATGCGCTCGGTCTGGGCGGGCGGGGGGCCAAAATCGAATTTTTCCCCCCGGGGGGCGCGGGAGAGACCGACCGCGGCGCCGATCATTCAAATGAAGCTTTTCGCCCCCGCCCCGGCGGTAATCCGCCCCCGGGAGAGCCGCGGCCCGGCGCCCCGCCTCGACCCCGCCTGCCCCCGAACCCCCGGGGGGCCCGCCGGATTTGCGGCGCGGAGGACCCCCCGCGGGGCCCCTCGAGCGCCCCCGCGGGGGGGAGGGGCCCGGCGCCGAGCCCTGATTGAAGGAGTGTCGGCCCCGCTAATGCTAGTGTACGTCACGTTTCCACTTCGGAATTAGTGGGTCCGACTGCGAGGTGATGCGGTGTGGCCGAGAGCGGAATAATGTCGCCGGGGCGGGCGACGCGCGGTTTGACCTGCTGGGCGGCGACTGCTGTTTCTGCGCGAGGGCTTCCTGGCACTTTGAAGGAGCTCATTGATTGGATCAGACCCTATTTGTAACTCTAATGGACAAATTGGTTTACACTGTCAGAATCGTTTTAAAACCGAACAATAGCAGTTTCAAATGAGAGTATAGATTTAATATAATTTTGTTAGAACAGAAACATGCAAACATTAGAGAAAGTGAACACCAAAAAAAGAGATTGCTTAATGTTTACAGGTCCTATGATTATATTTGTTGTTATCACCCTTATTATTAGTGTTATTTTTATTGTTGTTGTTGCTATTATTATTACTTGTATTATAATACTTATATAAGTATTTGAACATTTATTTCAATTTGCAACTGTAGTCCAAGAATACATCAATTTTACTCAATTTCTGAAATGCCTTACCATATTGTTACAGGAAAACTTCAGCAAGATTGTTACATTGAAGTAAATCATGTGTCTGAGCGGAATATAAAGATTCACCTCATATCTACGCAATAGTTATCTAAATAAGCTACACGTCTCTACTTTTCTTAACAATACTAGGAAATATTAATCATGCCGTAATGAACGTGTGTGTTCGTTATCCGCAAAATCCTTGCGCCTCCCTCGGAAGCAGTAAAGTGAATACTCGCTCTTTGAGCCAGCGGGCTTGTTTATTTCATCGCCACCGTTCCTCACGTTCTCCGAGCGTCCGCCGTCGCGGGGAGGTTATTCCTCGCTGTATATTCCGGCGGCGCGAGTAATTTGGTGGTAAGAGGACGGGGAGGGGGCGGCGGCGGTCCTTCTCGAAGTCGCAGCGGGATCTGCGCGCGCCAGGGGCCGCCCCGAGGCGAAGCACCTTCAGCGCGGCGAAGAGCGCGCGGCGCGGGGAGCAGGGAGGATCTGACGTAATTAAAAGCAGCCTCCCCGCGAGGTAGAGTGCGAAGTTCCCGCTTTCCTCCGCCGCGCCCCTTCCCGCTGCCTGCTCTTCCCGCCTTCCTCCTGCCCCCACTCCCACCCTTTCACCCCTCGCGAAGAGCCGACAGTGGAGATGCGCGGGGGCGGCGAAGGGGACGCGGCGGGGACGACGTGGCTGAGGTGACGCTGCCGGAGGGAAGAGAAGGGGTGTGCAACAGTGGAGGTGGCAGGCAGGTGGAAAGGCTGATGGAGACAACGCAAGATGTGGCGTCGGTCCCCTGACCCTTTCTCCTTCCTCCTTCCACATGTGTCGTCAAAACTGTTGCTACGCGGTGATGGAGGATGTGACGAAGGTGTGGAGATGATAATGATGTGGAAGAAAATAAAAGTGGAAATGCGTAAGCAATGTAGGGCCTAGTAGGCTGCATGTGTCAGTAGGAGTGTCAGAATAAGTAGTGAAGCAGAGGAAAGGGACACATATAGGAACCGAATGACGTTCGTTAATTGACTGTTAGTGATACCGGACGCGGCAACTGCCAAGATCATTAGTCCCGTAAGTGTAGAGTATGTGTTTTACTCGGGAGTGAGCGGTGATCTCTTGCTGGATGGCGAGATCGGGCGCCGAGCTACCGTCGGCTAGCTGAGTTTTCTTCAACCAAGTACCTCCCACCACTGGGGCACCGTCCCAGCAGGACAAGCTCTAAGCTCCCCTTCGGCCTTCTGACATGTGTGGTAGTGTAGTCCATGTTAGTGTAAGTGTGGGTAAGTAAAGGATGAGGATAGGTCAAGGATGAGGAAGGAATGATTGCGCGCGTTCCGTGGCGCCTTTGTTAGGGTACTGCTCCGGCATTCGCCTGGTGTTGATCGGAGAAACCAGGGAAAGCTTTCGATCAGAGCAGCCGGCTGCCACACTTCTCCTCGAGACAGCGACAGAACTGGACACATCTACGTAGCTAGCGTCGAAAATCCTTCCATCATCGGGGCTCGAATCCAGGACCTCCCGATCAGAGGCACTGCAGTGCCATCAGTTGATGCCCTGAGCCACGTTGTCTCGGTGAACGACCTTCGTGTCCGTCGTAGTAACAGATACATCGATAGCGGTGACCAACCAGTGCAGCAGGGTGGCTGACGTCGGGTCGCGAAGGCGCCGATGGCGACGGCGGTGAAGGAAAGCGGCGAGCGACGTGGCGAGGGTGGGCGTTGCGGTGGGATCAGGGGCGAGGGCGTCGGGGGGGGGGGGCTGCTGAGACCGCCGGCCGGAATTTGCCACACGCCGCCGCAGTTTTCCAATACCGTCGCAGGATGGGGCTGCGTCATTGAGGAGTGCGGAGCCACGGAAAAAAAGATTACGCTGACTAATTGCCGTCAATCCCGGGGGCGGAAACTAATTAAGAAAGCGCTTTGCCGCTGCCTTCCGCGCGGAGCGCCGGCGGGGGCGGCGGCGGGCGCCGCGGGGCGGTAGCTCGATCAGCGGGGCGCGCGGCCGCCAGGATCCGTCGCCCGCTTCCGGCGCGTGCTTACAGCTTGTCCTAAATATCGGGGGCGGCTGCACCACGGGGGTCTGAACAAACACCACGTGTTATGCCATTACTTTTTCAAAAACGCTGCAATTATTATTATATTTATAAAATTCTTAGTAAGGAAATAAGTAAATTTTGTTTATTAAAGAAACCTTTCTGTACTGAATTATGTCATCTTTGAACTCGTTGAAATATTATACAAGGACATTATTCGGAGCTTCATTTACATTATTATTTCAGAAACAGAAAGTATAATTTCTTGCACTCAGAATACAAGCCTCTTTTGCCCAAATACTTATTAAACTAAATTGGCAGACCTTTTCTACGATGAGAGAGACATGCTTGAAACATCAAGGCATCGAAATCATACGCAACTTAGCTTTTTGAGATTTTGTACCACATACTCTTTAGTATTTTTGTAATCGGATCCGGATAAATTCGATCCGAACTGATTCACTATCGAACTCTCAATAGCAAACATAAGTCTTAATTTTGCAATATCCGGCTACAACTTAATTTGGACCAATCCGCTTCGCGGTGAATCACTTTCACAACCATTCAGAAACAATTAAGCAACGCTTCTATGAAATGGTAGTACAACACAAGAAAATATTCTCCCCCATCAGTCAACCGTGTGTAATTCACAGAAACGAAATAATAGAAAAGGTACTAAAATTGCAATTTGCATTTTAGGTATTTTCCAAATCTAATAGAACCGACTTTTTGTAAATTCTCTATAAGCCACTCAATGTGGCTGCAGTATTCTAAAGGAACCTGTAATTCAAACAATGTTAAAACCATTTACTTCCGTTACTAATTTGCTTATCTACTCCGTTACGATAATCAATGTATATCTGTATGATTAAGTACTTCAAAATAAATCGAGGGGTTATCAGATTGACTGAGCGTTTTGTGATTCTTCGTACTCCAACGGCTGTTATACACGGCTGTTGTACATCCTGTAAGTGTAGTGCGTGTTGTATTCCAGGAGGCGGCTGTGCTCCTCCCCCACCGGCGCGTGAGTCTCGGCTCCGGCTCCGACCTGCACGTGGGCTGGCGGAGTTGCAGCTACTCGTCACGGAGACACCCACGCAGGCAGGGCAAGGGGTAAGTTCCCAAACTGGTCTCGCGGCATAGTGTAATGCATGACAGTGTACAGTGGCAATGACAGCGTCCGGTCCGTGGTCCGTTTTGTTAACGTACCGCTCCGACTTTCGTCTGACATTGATCGGAGAAAGCACGTTAATGTCCGATCAGAGCAAGTTGAATTCTCCTCCAGACAGTGGTCCAGTTCGACCCTTCTATGTATCAAAAATCCACCGCCGTCGATTCTGGAGACCTAGCGTCTTCCGGTCAGAGACGCTGCAGTGGCAACGGCTGTTGCTCTGAGCCATATCAGCCGATGCGTCATCAGAGAATGGATGCATTTCGTTTTACCCTCACATTTGTCTCTCTCATGTTTTCCATCGCTGGTGACGTACGCCGAGCATTCAATTGTTTGGAGTCAAACCATGGAGCTATGAATACATGGAGGTGGCATTACCAACATCTGCCACGTTCCGCAAGGAAGTCAGTACGCCATATTGGTGTGCGCAAAATACGTTTGTCAAACGTGATAGTAAATGAGTAGTACCCATTTTCCAATGGACTTTACAAATCTTCGGAATATTGAAGAGTACGATAACTAAAAGGGAGAAGCTTCATTAGGAACTGTGTAAAGTATTTTCTGTACAAGACAACCAAAATAACCTCAAACGTAAAACGTCAAGAAAATTACATTATTTAATGTGCTTCTTCGGCCCTTGAGATTCCTCACATGATATCTCACGAAAATAATGCAAATAAATAAAATCTTAACACTGCTGACATTCTGAAAGAGCATGTAATGGAGAAATTATTACGAAATATTCTTAGAATTAGTTATATTTAAGGTATAGCTACCACACCAAGTATATGATTTTAAGAAAGCACAGTTTTCTGTACTGTTATTTTTTATTTCACCATTTCCTTACATAAACATTATGTACTCTCATCTGAAGTCAAAAGAGCACTATCCTAAAGTTTAGAGTTTGTGAATGAGCTAGTAATACAATTGATAACAACATTGTGTGCAAAACGTTTGTGTTTCTTTGTAGAAGATGTCAGAAAGAATGTCAGTTATCGTTTTGAAGACATCTTCTGTGAATCCTGCACAGTTCCTGCACAGTTTACTTCTCTTAGATGAGGTAGAATATTTGCTAACATTTTTGAAACTGTTAGTTTCTACAAACGTACGTATCATGAAGTTCTGTCAAATTCCTCTTTTATTGAAAATGAACCGAGTATAACTTGCTGTATGTTAGTACGTACAGCAAGTTATGTTCGGTTCATTTTCAAGAAGAGGCTGCCCGTTCGCGCAACTTATCCACGTTTTCGAACAACTTATCCACAGTGCTCAATTCACGCATTTCCCGACCTATTGGGACACCAGTAAGAAACACACGTAACCATGACGAACTGTTGCGAAAGCTTGCTAACCTGATCAAGGGTTTTAAGTATAAAAAACTATGACAAATAACACACCACAAGACGAGGACGCCTAAACCTTTTTGGACGCAGCAAAATGGTGGATCGGTGGCTTCAAGTTCGTGACGCCATGCCATCTCCCTGTATTCCCAGCTCCATGGTGAAAACCACGATATAAGTGGAGGCAATGCAATAATAAAAATACCATAAGAACGTTCAGCGGGTAATAGCTACTCTTACAGCTGATGCAGGAGGTGAAGAATTTGCAACTGACCCAGATCGATCATCAACTATTCATGAAAGTCAAGAATCCGATATGATCGTGTTGCCAACATTTACATGAATACGAATAATTGTTGTTTAGCGCTCATATTTAGCATGAACTGAACGGACCAGTTGCCAGATACGTTGTCGGTGGCTTCGTGCTACTGGAAGCAATGCAACTGCATGGAAGTGGTCCTACCTGAAGAGCGTCCGTCGTCCGTCTCCTGTTTGGGCGGCAGGTCCAACGGCGAGCCCAGGCCCACACCATGATAACGTCCCATAGCCAGCGAGACGGGTGGTCTGCAATAAATAGCATGCAATAAAGCATTGATCAAAATCAATCAGGTAATTCTGGCTCTGTCATTAAGTAACTTATTAACAAGGGTAGCGACCACATTTCAGAAATAAACCCAAATGTTTTTCCGACGTCTGTATTAGATTATTTAATGTTCATATCATTATTTGATTATAAATCTTGATATGTATTTTCATGTCATTATTAATTTATCAACTTCCATTTTCATGATCGGATGCTGATTTTCTATTTAAACAAAAGGTTTATTGATCGTATAAAATGAACATTGCATGGAATCAGGCACAGAATGCCGGAGCAGTGGGGAACTCACCCGTTGGTATGATTGGTCTCCCTGTTATCAGCATCCTCCATTTCGGTCCGACTACATCGATAATAGGGGTAGGTTGGAAGGCTGTAAATTAAAATAATTAAAGAATAATAAATAAACTTTAAAATGTGTCTAATTAATATGTAATAAAAAAAACGTATGTGTAATTATAAAAATCAAGATAACAACATAAATGCATTTCAGCATAATAACTTCTTAGGTTTAATGATACAATGTATGTAAAGACAAAAATGTAAAGATGAAAGCTGGAAAAAGAAAATAATAAAATAAGGAGTCATTACTTAATTGAAATAAATATCAAGTGAAATAACTGAATTATACAAAGTTCATTTCACGAAAGATATCATTATGAACTTATAAAAAGGTGGAAATGCATTGATTTGTATGATGACGGCGAACAAGCGACAAAATGAAAGCAGGGGTAGGGAACGGCTTCCGCTTTTGTTCAGCGAAAGACGACAATTTTTTACGCATTGTAAGGGATCGTGCACAACGAATTGAAAGATAATCTGAAGTGTCATTTAGTAACGCCTCATTGAACAGCATTATACCGTCCAATTCATACCGGAACGTGTAAGCAAGATGGCATTAATGGGCGCCCTTTATGCGTTCGCGCTAAGAGGTTTTGATGTTATCGTTGGGCGATCCCACTATAATTCCGCTGGTGGCGGCCGTGGTGGCGGCGGCGGCCGCCCCTCGCGCGAGTGGCGCGGGGCGGCGCGGGCGCGCCATCTGCCGGCCCGTTGTCATGCTAATGCCCCCGGCTGCGGCGGCGGAGGGCAAAAAGCCACTCGCCTGCGTGCACCGCAGTCGCCGCCGCCGCCGCCGACGACGACGACGACTGCAGAGCGCACTGTGGCCTCGATTGCTCGAGCAGTTAGCGCGAGAATTACGGAAATCAAGTTGTTTGGATAACGGAAATGTGAATTCACGGTTATATTCACGGTTATGCTTTTTGAAAACTTAGAAAAAAAGGTGGTATTGGAGAAATCAAGTTGCTTGGATGTAGAAATGCGAATTCAGGATAACATGTTTGGAGTTAAGACACAAATTTCCAAATTTTACCTGATAATTAATTTATCGTAATTTGTAAACTGCATTACAATACGTGTATATATACAAAATTTAAGGCTTACGTTTGTATTTGCATGTCCTGTTTGGTACAATATTGCACGAGGCAATTAAAATACACCTACACTAATTAATTGTTTAATTCTCAAAAAATTACCCCTTCCAAAAAATCTAATGTTCATTGCCATTCCATTTTCCATTGCATCTTGGTCATTCATTAAAAATTCATCCCTTAATTTATTACTGTTTAAGAAAAAAAGAGCTTCCTTTCTACCATTGAGTGATTACTCATTCCGGGCGCGTTAAGTCCTAAGGCCATTTGTCCCGTAAGTGTGGGGCACGCTTTATCACGGGAGGTGGCAGGGATGATCTATCTCCACTGGATGGCGAGATCCGGCGCCGCCGTCGCTTGCGAGGTTTTCCCCAGCCAGGCATCTCCCACCAACGGGGCACCGCCCCAGCCAGGTCAAACGCGAAGCTTCCCACTGGCCTCTCGGCGTGTGTGATAGTGTAGTGCAAGTGGGTTATGACACGGAAGAGGAAGAAAATATCGTGGTCCGTGGCCCGTTTGTTACGACACTGCTGCCGCATTCGCCTGGTGTTGATTGGAGAAACCGCGGGTAGCAACCAATCAGAGCAGCCGGCCGCTTCGTTTATATCATATGACTGATACATTAACATCAATTAAATTAAATGTTACTTTATGTTATCTGGTATTATTTTGTAATCTACATGAATTGAAATATTTTTTGATATTTATATCACATTTAGGGTAGTTTGTAAATAATTTGAAAAAAACAAATATGGTGTCGATGCCAATATTAAGAACACACAACCGCCCATTTACCTCTCCACCGTCATACTCATTATGAGTGACTTCTTTATAAATACTTTCAGTTTTTAAAACTGCGTCATGCGATTTTCAGTTGTCATTAATTTTGTAATATTGTACAGACAAAAGCATCTCAAATAACAAACAAAACAAAAATTAAAAAATATATTATTTATTTATTTTAAAAACACTTTAGTGTATTAAACATCACTAGTTTCCATCAATTAACTAGCTGAAATGTAAATATGATCGTAATATTATTAGTTGAAAGCTTTAATAATTACAGAGATTACGTTTGCGGTGTCGCTAATAGGGATTATCACATTTACAACCACCGTTACTTCCTTCAAGTAGGAGTTCCTTCATTTATTTTATTGATATAAAATTTCTTTTTTTTTTAATTTAGAGGATGTCAATGAATCTAATCATTATGATATAATATTATTTTTTCATGGTTTCACATTATTTCTCTGTTTGTTCAGTGATGCCCATCTGTCAACAACTCGTTGATTGCTTTCGATCTTCTTGTAACGCTAACGCAACAATCAAGTTCATTATCTTTTATATCATTGATTCTATTGGACATGCGTATTATCAGTGCCAGTGCTGTCCGGAGTTACCAAAAAATGAAGATCAAAATTGTTTTACAGTCTTCCTCTTTTCTAATTGTTTAGAAAGAATTTGGGTATTATTGGTTGGAGGGTGATGGAGGCAGGAATCTTTTCCACCGTAGCTTGTTATAAGGATGGCATGTTCTATGGAAGGCATTCTGATATATTTTCGACTGTACTTCTGATCATACTCTCATCGTCCAAGTACTCGTGTTAAAATGCGATTGCTACCAGTGCAACTCGTATTTCAATTATCACCGTCCTGTTTATTGGTAGCACATCTATTGCTGTTCCTCTTTCCTATCCATCGTTTTGCTTACGACAGCTGCAGAACGATCACTAGTACCGTAGCCTTGTTACAATCATCTCTGAACTCTGATAGCACATTGCCGATGGTCATTCTCTAAATTTTCACTTCGTTACTTCCACTATAAATGCAGTTAATCTCATCACAATTACTTCACATGGTTCCTACAAAACCAATTTACAATTCCGTCACGGTCATTCATTAAAAACCAACTTCTGTCCGGGTACTGAATTCGATTCTGGTTTTAAGGTAAATTGAGACTCCTTAACAATAACCTCCAACATCCACTGCAATGAAAGGGGTGTGGCAAGTGTTGCAAACAAGAGATGCCTTCAACATCCTCGCACGTTCTTCGCCAATCGCTGTGTAGCCGCCTTCTCCATCGCCATGCACGCATTTTCCTCCGCCGTCAGCCTCCGCCAGCGTCGTCTCCGCTTCCGCCTTTGAGAGCACCCTCGCCTTCGTTTCCGGCGCTCTCTGAGCGGAGCGCGCGCCTTTGATCACTTCGGCGGCGGCGGCGGCGGCGTCGCCTCGCACGCACGGGCGCGCGGGCGTGTCATCTTTGACAGGTGCGGCGGCGGCGCAGGGCGCGTGTCCGCAGGTGCGAGAGCGCAGCATCGATTATTGACTCAGTTGGCGCGCTGTCGCTTTGCCTTTGACGCCGCAGTGGCTGGTTGCGACGCCCCGATGCGCCCGCCATCGCCGCCGCCGCCGCCGCCGCCGCCGCCGCCGCCGGAGCGCGCGTCAGAGGTGATGTGGATCGGGCCAACGCCGATGTCGCAACAGAGAGGTCGGCTGAAGGGCTGGCGCGTTGCTATGAGGTGCAGGGAGGGACCCACCCTGGATGGTGAATGCTCAGGGTGTGGCCCTTTTAAACTCTTTCGCATAACTCACAAAAAAAATGTCTGTCGAGGGCAACGATCTAGCGAGAGGAACATATCGAAAAGAAGGACGTACATCAGAACAAGTGCGTAAACCTACAATTCCCATTAAAACATTATTTCCTGCATTCACGAGTGTTTTCTTTCTCTTATACGTACATAAATACAGAATAATATAGTAGATGGTAATTTTGCAAAAAAAAAAAAAAAAAGATTTCAGATTTTGAACGGAAATACATGTTTAGGGGTAGCGAAAAGGTGTATTTTTAACGACCGTCCGCCCATCTGTCTCTCTGTCTGTCAGTCTGTCTGTCAGTCCGTCTGTGAATAACACTAGCTCCTCAACTATGAATATTTCAACCAGAAATGAATATTCCCCGGTCGATTTCGCCCAACTCGCAGCTCTGCGAATCTGAAAAGAATTCTTACAATTTTGCAGGAATTGTACATGGGCCCGAGGTAATTTTCAAAACGTTTTTCAAATAATGGCTCCAAATTTCTTCTCGAATATTCTTGTTTATTGATTTTATAGGCAAGCCCGATATTCTTAAATAACACCTCGATGCCAAACTACACCATTAAGATGGTAACTGAAGTAAACAAAAATTCCATCTTACTCATGGTGCAGACATGTCTTTTGATGGTCTAAATTGAATGAGTATTGGATTTTTTGTTATGAGTTCATTACCGTCATGGAGATAAAATACTTGCTCCTTGGAAACAATGACCTTCGAAGTTTTCTGCGACATACGTTATCTGATATCACGATTGCTTAGGGATGGTGTTTCAATGTTTGCTCTATACTTCACGTATTTTATGATGAGTGGAGAAAGCAGATGTGGAGGGAAATAGTCAAAATTTACTTGGTTCTTGGGTAAAATGTGGAGAGTCCTTGTCCGAAATGTGGCGCATTCTAAAGATGTTTTTAAAACTGCTTATTGAATGTGTCATCACTTATATCTCATGAAGTATAATAGCATTGGTATTGAAATAAAAGAAAACTTATGAATTTTTATTATTGTTTTTCTAATTTTGTACCCAATTGGTTTTTTCGTTAGAGAAATTCATTCCACCCTGATGACTTCCTCCTTGCCATGCACTCTGCAACACAGCTGAAAATGCTAACCGGACGAGCTGTCGAGAAGGACACCATCAGAAAAAGAGAAATCGAAAAACAAACAGAATGAACTCACACGTCGTGACACCTGTGTGACAGATACATGATTGAGTTTCGTTGAAATTCTAGGTGGTATAATGAACAAGTGTTTGTTGTTCACCATATGCCGCGCTAGGATGTCATGTTCATCTCTTTTGAATAGTG